CTGGAACGTCCCAGATCAGCGGCACAGGCCGGAGGCCTCTAAATAGCGTACCAACGTATCGTCTGACAAAAAGCGTGCAACGTCCTGAGGGAGTCCCAAAGCCAGTCTTAATCAAAACATAGTTATGACTAGACCCAGTTGTCAAGGAGCTCGCCGCGAAAACCACTCCAAGACCGCCAGCCCTTTCGCACAGAACAAATGGAGCGCGACCCCCTGAGGCAGAGCTTGATTGGAAAAATACGTTTGCCCCCTGCCACGCGCGAGGAAGCTGAGTCGAATGCCCAATCAGGCGGACCCCCCGAGGAAGTTACAAGACTGATGGGAGCCTCATGGGGATCCTCGGAAAGCCCTGTGGGTCCTCACTTGGGCCTCCCAGGAGCCCGCGCGCAGCTCGAGGAGGGATAGAAGGAGCAGGAACCAAACCACTCACCTGACCGACGTGGCCGAGGGGGGCAGAAGTTCTGAGGAAACCGAATCCCACCAGCCCTCTGGGCGTCGGTGGTTTAGGTCGTTTCCTCTTCCACCCCTCCCTCTTCCCCTTCGGGGAGGGGTTTCCCCCTCCCCCTACCCCCTCCCACTGACCTGGACAGGAGGGGCGGGGAGCGGTCAGAGCGTCCAAAACGGCCTCGGCGAGGAAGCCAAAATCATTGATTTTACTATGGTCTTGGCCCCATGTTGGCCTTCTGAGGGGGCAGGGCTAATTAAAGCTCCCCTCTTCTTTGATCGATTTCCTCCACGATGGCCGCAAGAGGCCCCCAGGATGCCCCAAGAGGCCGCAGGATGGCCCCAAGATGGCCCCAAGAGGCCCCCCAAGAGGCCCCCAGGAGGCCCCCAAGAGACCCCCAAGAGGCCCCAAGAGACCCCCCAGAGGCACCCAAGGTGCTCCCAGAGGCCTCGGCGATAATGTCAAACCATTGTTTGCACTAAGGTTTTAGCCACATGTTGGCCTCTTGGGGGGGGGCACTGATTAAGATGACTCCAAGAGCGCCTCGGAGAGCCCAAAATGACCTCCAAGATGGCTCAAGAAATCCCAAGATGTCTCATACTGGCTTCCTCTGTGTGCTGTCCACTTCCCTGATCGAGGCAATCCCACCAGCCCTCTGGGCGTCGGTGGTTTAAGGCGTTTCCTCTTCCACCCCTCCCTCTTTCCCTTCGGGGAGGGGTTTACCCCTCCCCCTACCCCCTCCCCGTGGACCTGGACGGGGGGGGCCGCGAGCGGTCAGAGCGTCCAAAACGGCCTCGGCGAGGAAGCCAAAATCATTGATTTTACTGAGATTTTGGCCCCGTTTTGGCCTCCTGAGGGGGCAAAGATGGCCCCAAGAAGCGCCCAGGAGGCCCCCAAAGGCCCCAAGATGGCCCCAAGAGGCCCCAAGAGGCCCCCAGGAGGCCCCAAACAGGATCCCGAACGGCCCACAGAGGCCCCCCCGAGGCACCCAAGACGCCGAAAAGCCCCTCAGGACGACCCTCTACTCGCCTGGGCGTCGTTTCTGGACGGGCTGGTGGGGATACGCGAAGCGTTTCCCCACCAGCCCTCTGGGCGTCGGTGGTTTAGGGCGTTTCCTCTTCCACCCCTCCCTCTTCCCCTTCGGGGAGGGGTTTACCCCTCCCCCTACCCCCTCCCCACTGACCTGGACAGGAGGGGCGGGGAGCGGTCAGAGCGTCCAAGATGGCCCGGGACGGCTCCAAGAAGGCCTCAGAGAGCCCAAGATCGCCTCCAAGATGGCTCAAGATAGCGCAAGATGCCTGAAGATGATTCAGAAGACGCTCCAACACGTTCCAAGACCGCTCCAAGATGGTTCCAAGTGCCCACAAGAGCATCATTAGAGTGCCCTCAAAAGGCCGAACTGCTTCAAAACCCTAGTGAAAATCAATGTTTTTGGTGTTCTCACTTTTTCGCTTCCGAAGCCCATCCGAGGCCTCAAGATAGCGCCAAGATGTCCCAACTGGGCCCCAACAGGGGCCGAAGAGAGCCCCAAGACTGCCTCAACAGCGTCCAAGAGCGCTCCAAGAGCGATCCAAGAGGGGTCCAGGAAGCGATTGTAGACATTCTGGAGGGGCAGCGCTAATTAAAGCTCTGCTCTTCTTTGATAGATTTGCTCCAAGATGCCCCCCCCAGAGCGCCCCGATGGCGTCTAAAAGGACCCCAGACGCCCAAAAACTGCTTGAAAATAAATTCAATCGAGCGCTCGCGCGGGACGCGAAGCCCAGAATACTGCGAAAGCACATGTAAGAGCAACCGAAACGATCAAATGCTTCTCACAGAAATATGTTATTCTGCCTGCACATCCGTACTCGACGCCTCAATCCCACCAGCCCTCTGGGCGTCGGTGGTTTAGGGCGTTTCCTCTTCCACCCCTCCCTCTTCCCCTTCGGGGAGGGGTTTACCCCTCCCCCTACCCCCTCCCCACTGACCTGGACAGGAGGGGCGGGGAGCGGTCAGAGCGTCCAAAACAGCCTCGGCGAGGAAGCCAAAATCATTGATTTTAGCAGGGTTTTGGCCCCATTTTGGCCTCCTGGGGGGGCAGCGCTAATTAAAGCTCAGCTCTTCTTTGATAGATCTCCTCCAAGATGGCACAAAGAAGCGCCCAGGAGGCCCCAAGAGGTCCCAAGATGGCCCCAAGATGGCCCCAAGAGGCCCCCAAGAGGCCCCCAGAAGGCCCCCAAGAAGACCCTCAGAGGCCCCAAGAGGCCCCCCCCCGAGGCACCCAAGACCCCGAAGAGCCCCCCAGGATCGCCAAGAGACCCCCAAGACGTCCCAAGAGGCCCCCAAGAATCGCCCAAGAGATACTCCAAGAGGCTCCTAGAAGCATCCAAGAGACCTCTGGCCCTTGTGCTTGCCCTCCTCCTCCTCCTCCTCCTCCTGTTCCTCCTTCCTGTTCCTACTCCTTATCTTCCTCCTCCTCCTCCTCCGCCTCCTCCTCATCCTATTCATCCTCCGTCTTCCCACTCCCTCATCCATCCATCCATCCACCTCCTCCTTCTCCTCACTCCTTTGCACGGTTCGGCCGTCCTCCTCTTTGCTGCCGCACTTCCCTGATCACCTCAACTCGCCTGGACATCGTTTCGGGATGGGCTGGTGGGGATAAGCGAAGCGTCTAGAATTTGAACCGATACCGCTGCTCCCTGGACCTCTCCTGGGGGGCGTTCTGACCAGGATTCCGAGGCGAATGCAGCGGTGGCCACGAGGGTCTCCGAGGAGGCCCCAAAAAGGGGGAAAACGGGGAAGGTCGCGGTATCGGTACAGTCGGACCTAGGACAGAATTACTTTGCTTCGAGCGATCCCCGCCGAAGCCTCAAGTGTTTGTTCCCGACGGCGCGCGGTCGCCAAATTGGTCGACAACTGCCGTTTTCTGGATTCACAAAAACGGTTCAACCGTGTTCCATGCAGTCACGTGCTTCAATGTTGTGCTCTATTGTGTCTTGTTCTGCTCTTGACAAGCCGGCGTGACGTCGTGACGCCTGTGACGCTAGATGCGTCGTCTGTTGTGCTGTTCCTCTTCACCTACTTTTCTCTTATGCTTATGTTATGTGATGCGCATCGCTGTAACCACATGATGTTATGGTATGATCTGCTCTGTGACACTCTATTATAACATGGTATGCACTGCCCAATTATGTTATAGTATGAATTGTTCCGTGATGGTGTTGGCAGCCCGGCCCAGTAAAGTATAGTATGATCCGCCCTGCTGCTATGTTTCGCTGTGCTTTCCGTTGGTGCTATGATATGCTCTGTGATGCTACCTACCATGGCATGATATGATATGTCATGCCATGGTGTGTTATGTTAAACCAGGTGTTGTTAGGTTATGTTGTGTTCTGTCGTCGTCTGTTATGAAATGCTCTGCCCTGGCTTGTTCTGTGATGCAATGTTTGTTGACGGCTCGGATCTGTATAAAATACTACGATACGCTCTGCTAGTATGTGTCGCTATGCTCTGCTGTCGTGGTGTGTCCTGTTCTGTGATGCTGTCATGATGTGGCATGTTCTGTCAAGGTATATTATGTTATGCTCGGCTCAACTCTGTTATGTTGTGGTATGCCGTCTTCTGATATAGAATCCTCTGGTATGTTATGTGATGAAGTATGTGTTGACGGCCCTGCTCTGTATATCATATGCTGAAGTGCTCTGCAAGTATGTGTCGCTATGCTCTGCTGTCGCGCTGTGATTGGTTCGATGACGGTGTGTCATGCTATGATATGTTGTGTCAAGGTGTGTTATGTTATGCTCGGCTATGTTATGCTATGGTGTGTTAAATCGTGTGGGTTTCTGTCATTTTCTGCTCTGGTATGTTATGTGATCGTATAGTATGCCCTGTGCTGTTATGGCATTGCAACGCTATGTTCTGCAGTGCTACGCCATGATCGCGTTATACCATGTCATGGTAGGTTGTCTCATGTTGCGTTCTGTCGCGTTCGTCGTCGCTATACCCCCTGTCTTGTTATGGTATGGTATGTGATAAGGTGCCATACTATGATATGATATGATAGTGTATGTCACGGGGTGTTATGATGTGCTCGGCTCTGTTATGTAATGGTGTGTGATGTCGTCTTCTGATATGTCAAGGTCTGTTCTGGTATGGTATGTGATGTGGTATGCTCACTAGTGTGCTCGACTTTACCATGGCAGTGCTATAATGTGTTACGCCATTGTATGTCCTGCTCGTGTGATGTTGTCGGTAATGTTATGTTATATCGGTCGTCTTCTGTCGTGGTGAGGGTCGTGCTCTGTCGCTTCTGTTGTGTGATGTTCTGCTCTGGTATGCTATGTGACTGTAATGTTATGTCATACTCTACTTAGTCATGGTATTCATATGCTCTGTTCTGTCATGTTCTGTCATGCCCTGTTCCGCTCTGTCAAAAGATGTGCTGTCATGTGCTGTTCTGTCGTGTCCGTCGAGGGCGCGAGGCGGGACAGCCGGGACTCTCGGGGATCATCGGAACGTTGGGGGTCTGGCGGCCGCAGGATGCAGGGTGGGGTTGGCTGGGCACGAGGCGGGACAGCCGGGACTCTTGGGGATCATCGGGACAACTTGGGGTCTGGCGGCCGCGGTATGCAGGGTGGGGTCGGCCGGGCGCGAGGCGGGATACCTGGGACCATCGGGACAACTTGGGGTCTGGCGGCCGCGGTATGCAGGGTGGGGGGACTGTTCTTGACATCTAACAACCCCAACCTATCGAGTAGGGAAAAACATCCTTCGAGAACTTCCTTCAACAATTTCATCCGGCCAAAACACGCAGAACATCCCAGGATACTCTCCCCAGGATGCACAAAAACGTCCAACGAGCAAGAAGAACATCAGGGCAACCTCCCCGAACCGACCTCGATCTTATACCTCGGTCCGCCTGTACCTTTCTCCTCCCCTGAGGTTCAGCAAAAGACCTGGCCTGAGGTCGGGCATGTCCTCCTACAGGCGGATCTCGGATGAAAAACACAGACACTGTCAACCGAAACACAAAAGAGCACAATGCATTGTCAGCAGGCTATTTTGCTATTTTGAGTACTCTTCCTGTGGAGGGACATGAACTATTATGAGTTGAGCTATTTTGAGTATTCTTCCTATTTTGAGCTATTTTGAGTGTTCTTCCTATTTTGAACTATTTTGAGCTATTTTGAACTCGCACCTGGTTGCACCGCGACGGGCCCGGTCCTTGCGCTCCTCCTCCCCGACCTGCGCCAGCAGCTCCGCCGCGGGCTGCCGCAGCTGCTCCAGGCCTGCCCGCGCGGCCGCGTGGCGGCGCACGTCCTGCTCGAACAGCGCCCGGTCCTCGTCGAGCAGCGGGAGCGCCGTGGCCGCCGCGGGCTCGAGCTGCGGCGACGCCTGGGCCTCCTCCTCGGAGGCCACGCCACCGGCACCGCTACCCTTCCCCCGTCTGTCCCCTGCTTCGGCCTCCTGTGAAGGGGCCCCAGGACACACAAATACACACACAAATAAAACGATTCCCCATATTTTCCAATGTTTTCTGGGTTTCTGTCTTCCCCCCCCCACTTCCCATATTTTCCCATATTTTCTGAGGAATCGAAGGTTAATTGTGTCTGTGTGTTTTTCCCCTCCTGAGAAACGCCACCGGCACCGCTACCCTTCCCCCGTCTGTCCCCTGCTTCGGCCTCCTGGGAGGCCCTCGTCGCCACCGCCGGATGCGCCTCGAAGTCCTGGTCAGGAGGCGTCTCCCGGGAGACCGGGCGGGGGGCAGTGGGGAGTGACCTACCATGGGGGGTGCACAAAAAGACCCGGCAGTGGACAAACCTCCCTTTAGTAAACCTCCCCGTAGTGAGAACGGCCTGGGGCCGAAACCGACGGACCTGGGCCCGCAAAAATGACGGCCGCGACGCCCTCTCGCGAACCGAAAACGGCCAATTCACTAATCGACGTGTCAGGGTAGGAGGTCTATCCACCTCTGAAAGACCCGGCCCATGAGGGCCCCTCTTGGGACCCGGCTGGCTCCAAGGGGGGCCCTAAAGGGCCCCTGTAATGTCCTTTCCTTAATCCCCGACTTGGGCCACCCCCCACTACCACTCGGGGATCTGCCGACCCAGGTCAATCCAGACCCGGGTCAGTCAGGCCTTGCAGAATCTTGTAAAATCCTGCGAGATCCTGCGCCCAAGCCCGGGTCAATGCGAAGGATCCTGCAAGATCCTGCAGGATCCTGGGCCCAAGCCCGGGTCAGCAGGATCCTGCACTAGATCGGGCGCCCTGGCTGACCCCCGTTTGCATTGGCCCCCGTCTCGAGGCTCCCGAACCACCCGCCCGAGGAAAGGTCCGGGGAGCAGCAGCATCGGCAACCTCTTGCTTCCCTGCGCATCCTGGCCCGCGAGCCCGAGCTGCTCGCCATGCGCTGCCTCTGGTTGGCAGGCGGACGCCCCCGACGCACCGGGCGGAGCCGTGGCGCTCGAGGCATCGTCCAGCACCGCGCCCGTGTGGCTCGTCGGCAAGCTCGCCTCGCCATCCCGCGGGCCCTTGGAGGGGCCGGAAGAGACCGCCCCCTGTCCTCACAGCCGCGTTGGGGTCCCCCCGCGCGGCTCACGGGGTGGAGGCTGGGGGGCAGAGGGAGGATCGGGTGGAGACAGATGGGGCGGCGGAGGTTGGGAATAGGAGAGAGGAGAATCTGAAGGAGGGCCCGGAGCAGCAGCAGGAGAGGGCCACGAGGACAACGGAATCGACGACAGCGGCGAGGCCGAGGAGGAGCAAGAGGCTTCGTAGGAGGAGAGGAGCAGGAAAAGGAAGAGGATCGAGAGGTGAAGAGGAAGTGGAGCAGCAGCATGAGGAGCAAGACGAAGAAATCCGGCGCCGCGATTTATTAGAGATATGAGCCCCCTGGGTTTCCCGACCACTGCCCAGTGGCCAGCTTTTCGCCCCACATCTTGTCTGGACGATCTCGGGGCCAGGGAACGGCCTGCAGATGCCGCAGCGTCGGAAGACCGGTCGTCACGATTGCTGCGATGCCCAGACCTGAGGGGAGGCTAGAAGCCTCCCAGATGGGGTCCGAGTAGATGGGGTCGGAGGATCTCGCCGCATCGCCGATAAATAGGCGATGCATTGCCGATGCATCGGCGATGCACTGGCGACTTCGGTGATGTGTCGACGACCTCGGCGGGGAGAAGATTGGGAACCACATCGAACTGCATCGCCGATGCATCGCTGCTGCATCGGCGATGCGGCACGATCCTCCGACCCCATCTACTCCGACCCCGGGCCTAGAGAGGCACGAGAAGAGGGGAGGGGTTCAAGCGGGTGGGGTGGGTGGGAAGGGTGGTCCTCGATCCTCCTCATCTTGCCGTCGCTCGGCTGTCCATTTCCCGTGCATCTTTCGGCTTCGTGCGTGCTTGTGTTTTTTTTCCTCGATGGTCCAGGATGGTCCTCGTGGTTTCTCGCCGAGAAAAAATGCACACGTCCAAGCGATGCCAGGTCATCGTTCCTCGTTCGGGCCCCCCCCGCCAAGGCTTCTTGCACAGGGCGCTCGCCCCGCGGCGGCTCCGCCCCGGCTGCGGGCAGAATGACCTGCGCGTCGACCTCTCCGGGGAGGGGGGAGCTCTCCCTCGTGCTCCTTCGTGGCAAAGGGGGGAAGGGGGGGAAGGAGAAAGGATCCAATTTTCGTGAAAACACAAACCTCGCACGCAACAGCTCATCGTCAACAACTCCCTGGACTCTGCCATCCCCGTGTCTAAGAGCCGCCGCCGCAGAGGTGCCCATGAACACCGTCTTTCCGACGAAGGGGAGCGGGAGAGCGAGGAGGACTGATCGGATGGCTGCCCACCTCTGTCCCGGCCAGCGCTCGAGCAGCTGGCGACCGACCCAGGCGCAGCTGTTCCTCATAATGCTCAGGGCACGGCTGTGTCTGATGACACTTCTCGATCTCGGGAACTTGAATGTGTAAACTGGAGCTCGACAACAGGCAACAAATGGCTGGCCACGAAGCGAACAAGTGTGAAAACAAAAGCTGGAAACGGCAGCTCAGGAAGGGGCCTGATCTGTCAAACTCTGAAAGAGCTGAAGAAGATACCAGGAACACACTGGAAGCCGACATGAAACGATGCGGGCGGGCAGTGGATCATTTAGAACGATGAACGCAAAGAAAACAACAACTGCACCAAAACGGAAAGCAAAACTTAAAAAGCTGACTGCGAATTATCCCAAAACGGGCGGGGGGGAAACAACACAGCCCAGTGGCATACTCCCTCTCCTCGTCGTGTTCCTTCTCCTCCTCCCTCCTCCACTGGCCCCTCCCCGTCCTCCATCATCCTGCCTCTTCACCTCCTTGCTCCTGATTCCTCACCCTCGTTCCTCGTTCCTCGTTCCTCCTCCTCCTCCTAAAACCTTTCCATACCTTTCCCGCTCCGCATCCACCCTTCCTCTCTTCGGGGCTCAGATGGGAGGGAGCCGAATCTCGCACACACACACACACACACACAAACACACACACACACACACACTCTGTAGCGCACCCCGGTTGAGGACCGCCGGCGCCGTGCCGCGGCAGCCCAGGCAGCAGGCGAACATCCCTCGCCCGCGTGCCGCCGCCCGCGGGGGGGGGGGCGCCGTGGGCTCCCGAGCCGAGGGGGAGGGACAGGGGGAGGCTCGAAGACGAGAAGGAACAGTAGCATACATATATATATATATATATATATATATATATATATATAAGACAAGGACAAGCAGGAACAGGAAGGTTGATGACGAGGTTGGAGGGAGGCGGCGCCAGAGAGCAGGGAGGAAGAGGAGAAGAGGGTGGAGAGTTGAGGGAGGAGGGGGCGGAGGTAACAATCGCACACGTACGGCTCCACGACGTGAGGCTCAGGAGGAGAGTGCAGGGAGAGAGGAGGAGAGAAGAGGGAAGAGAGAGGAGCGAGGGGGGAATGAGGAGGAGCAGGAGGCGCGACGAAGAGAGATGAGCGAGAGAGAGGGCGGAGGAGGGAAGCGCTCTGACAGTCTGGACCCCCCAGCGGGCCTGCGGGGGCACAGCCTTCCGCTCTGCCGCGGTGGACGCCTCCAGCGACGTGGGCTGCGCCAGGGTCTCTGTCTGCGCGGCCACCGGCGGCGTGGCCTGCCCCAGCGACTCCCAGTCCCACTGCATACGCACTGCCACCAGTTCCCGCCTCACTCTGGGGGCCCCCAAACGGTGTAGTGACCACACCGCAAGGTGAGTCAGCGGGGATTCGGAGTTACTGGACAGTTTTGGGACTGGGGTCGCTCTCTGGGCTGTTTCGGGCGACCAGGGCCTCCGAAGTCCCAAGACCGCGCGGTGACGGACCGCACGGTGAGGTCTCTTTGTGTTTCGAAGTCATTGGGCGGTCCATCCCCACACGGCGTTGGGACCCCCGATCATTTATGTCCACGGCCCCCCCGGCAGCAATAAACCCCGCACACCTGAGGCCTTGGGTGTCCTTCGGATGGGAAGCCTGCCCTGGTACATCCTCCGTTGGCCCGCAACCTCGTCTCTATCAGGGGAGTGTAGTGACCGAGACGGTGCCCGAAAATCTGCCCGAACGTGACCGAAAGCAACGTCCGAAATTTCCCGGCCGCGTCTGGGTGTGACCAGAATGTTTGGTTCGAATACAATCGGATGTTCAGTCCGGATCACAAGTTCGGTCACACTGCGTTTTGGGTCACATGTCATGGCACGTGTTCGATCGCAAGTTTACTTCGGTTACAAACCTCTTTGGCTGAAAAGAGCCGGGCGCCATGACCGGTGTCCTCGCGTAGGGGGAAAATAAACCTACCTCGCTTTTGACCACCCTCGCTTCCAAGGGATACCAAACGATGCCAAACTACGGCCTGTACTGGTCAGGCCGCTTGACGAGGAGGCGCGTGGTATGACTTGGTTTTGCCTGGAAGCGAAAGCGGGGTAGATAATTCACGCTCTGATCGCTGCCCAATCTCGTCGGGTGTGCTGCCAGGCCATCGGGTCATCGGGTGCATGGTTGACGCTGCTCGCCGCCATCCGGTTCTCCCCCACGTCCAGCCCATCAGCCTCCACCCTGCCAGCGGCAGCGAGGCCCTCCCCGGTGCCCACCCCGGCTCCAGGGGCACCCGGCCTCGGGAGCGGAATGGCAGCCAAGGCCCATACACCCCGGGCCCAGGCAGGCCCTCTGCGCGCTGCTGCAGCGGATCCTCCTCCCACACCGCATTACCTCGCATGTTGCCGAGCGCGCGCATGCGCTGTTCGACGATGCTCAAGAAGCGTGCTGGCGGGAAACGTATGCTTGTCCACCGAAGCCTTCCAATGCGATGCAGGCGGTGTAGGAAGGGCCAGCACAAGCTGCCGTGCTATTGGCGAAGCCGAACGGGGCAAACACACATCGGGCGAACACGCACTCTGAGGATCATAGCTGTGGGGCGGCTCCACCCAGGTCGCTGGCTTTATCACCTGGGACGCCGCTTTCGACGTCATCGTGGTATCGCGCTCGCCCGAGTCACCGACACGCACTGACATGCCCGCACGCCAGCGAGGCCTCTGAGATGCGCTGGGAAGTTCCCGTCGGCAAGCACCAACCGGCCGCGTCAGTTGTGCCAAAGCACCTAGCTACTCTGCGCGCGAGCTTGCGCGCACCTGGGCCCTCCGCGTGGAGAAGGCCGGCAAATTCTTAGAGAACTTGTCCTTAACGTCTCTGCGCGTAGCCGCCATGGACGGCTCGCTCATTGCCCTGCGGTCCCCCGTGCGAGCGATCTCAAGTTGCTAAAGAGATGGACATCGAGATATCCCTCCCGGACTCCTGGAAAAGTTCATCCAGACCCAAACCCCTGGCGTAGTACAATGATCCTGGCGAGAAACCCAACCATATGCAAGTGTGAACGCCGCAGTTTTGAGCCCCGTCTTCGGTGGAGCACCCTGTGGGGCCACGAAATGCGTGAGGGGTGTGCCGATATGGGTGCAGTGGCGCCATGCGAACCCTGCCACTGGGGCAACCGGTGGAGCCCCCTTATGGGGCCACGAGACGTGTGAGCGGTGTGCCGAAATCGGCGCGGTGGCGCCATGCAAACCCTGCAATTGGGGCCTTCGGTGGAGTTCCCGGTGGGGCGACGAAACGTGCGAGGGGTGCGCCGAAGTGGGTGCGGTGACGCCATGCGAACCCTGCCACTGGGGCCTTCGGTGGAACTCCCTATGGGGCAACGGAACGTGTGAGGGGTGCGCCGAAATCGGGCGGTGGCGCCATGCGAACCCTGTCAATGGGGCCTTCGGTGGAGCTCCCACTGGGCCTCGAAACGTGAGAGGGGCGCGCCGCAGTGGGGCGGGGCCGCCATGCGAACTTTGCCACTGGGGCCTTCGGTGGAGCTCCCCATGGGCCCACGAAGCGTGAGGGGGGTGCACCGAAATTGGGCAGGGCCGCAATGCGAACTTTGCCACTGGGTACTTCGCTGGAGCTCCTTTCACGGCCTCGAAACGTGAGGGGGTTGCGCCGAAATGGGGCGGGGCCGCCAGGCGAACTTTGCCAGTGGGGCCTTCGGTGGAGCTCCCCATGGGCCCACGAAACGTGCGAGAGGTGCGCCAAAATGGGGCGGGGCCGCCAGGCGAACTTTGCCACTGGGGCCTTCGGTGGAGCTCCCTGTGGGGCCACGAAACGTGTGAGAGGTGCGCCAGAATAGGGCGGGGCCGTCATCGCCAGGCGAACTTTGCCACTGGGGCCTTCGGTGGAGCTCCCTGTGGGGCCACGAAAGGTACGAGGGGTCTGCCGAAGTGAGGAGGGGCCGCCATGCGAACTTTGCCACGGGGGCCTTGCCTCGCATGGCCGCCGTCGTCAGTGATGAGCTGATTGCCTCGGCGACAGCATTGGCAGGCCTAACCCTTCGCCTGGCAGGGCGAGCGCATGCTTGAACTCTGCGACGTAGCCCTCTCGGTTCTCGGCCACTTGCCGCGCGGGCGGGATCTCGCCTCTCGGAGTCGCCGCCACAAGGGGTGACCGTCCCGCTTCGCCACCATCAGGCCTGACCCTCGCCTGGCAGGGGATACTTCATGAGAGGCCCCCCGACGATGCCAGTCGCTGCGTTCAGGATGCGCACGTGCACCTCGCCCAAGTCGAAGCCCAGCCTCCCCCTGCATCTCGTCGCTGACGCCGACGAGAGGCCCTGTTGCACGCGTCTTCGGGGTGTCAAGTAATCCCAGTCGCTCCACCTCGCCATGCTCTCTGGGCCCGTCAAGAGCCTCCTCCTACAGCGCTGATGATGCTGGCGATGCTGGCCTTGCCCTCGACGTTGCCGTCGTAGCCTCATGCCTTGCCACCTTTGTCTTGCCCCGTAGCCTGCGCCGCGGGGGTGCTGCGTCGCCCCTCTGCCCACCCAGCGCAGGATGCCCGAGGATCACATTGCGGTCCTGCTCCTCCTCTGCCGGCCGCTTCTCCTTCATCTTGGCACGCTCGAGCAGCGCAGCCATCATGTTCTCGTAGCTGTCTTCCTTGGCCACTGGGGTAACGGTGTTCGTCGTCTCCTTGCGCTCCGGCTCTGAGGCGCGGCTAAAGCGTCGATGCGTCTCGCCAGAGTCTTGCGCGGCCCGCGCCCCCGGCGGATAGTAGCCAACACTTCGAGCCCCTCGATGGCAGGCTGCGCGCGCGCTGCTCGAAGTTTCTCGCGCCGGCGCTGCTGGGCCCGAGCTTCGCGCCGCGCGCAAACGAATGCCATGGGAACCGCGCCGGCAAATAGCTCCTTGCCCTGCCGGTCGGCAGCAACGAGGCAGTGGCCGAGAGGCCGCGCCAGGTACTCGCTCAGGAACGTCGGCGCGAGGGCGAGCTCTTGCCTAGGGGCGTGCAACTCGCTGCAGGCCTGGCGCTGCTTCCCTAGCTCGGTATCCCCCCACTGGTTCCCTCTGTCCTTCCGCGTGCTCCTGACTCTCTTCGCCGTCGCCGACCGTCGCGCCGCTCTTTCATTCTCTTCTTTGTCGAGGAGGGGGAAGACGGTGGCAACCGCCCTGGCACAGTGCATGGGCTGCGTTGCGGCCCTCTCGGTGGCCTCCGCAAACTCCGAGCCGACGTAACGTGCCTCGCTGCTCCTTCTTCTGCCTCAACGTCCGCCATGATGCTGCCGCTGGTGATCCTCCTCATCTCCGCGTCGAGCCTCTCGTACTCCTGGTTGGAGCGATGCGCCTGGATATACACGATGGCCTCGATGCGCTCAAAGCCAGGGCAGCTCTGCGCGAAGAGCGGCACGCATGCACGCGGTTTGGAGCTGAGCTGCCGCTCGGGGCCTCTGCGCGCGAGGTTCACTGCGCCCACGACGTCGCCATCGCCGGTGCACCGACGGTTAACAATCTGGGCGATGTACGCATAGGCCACGTACTCCGCCATGGCCGATGTCTGTGGAAGAGACGCAGGAACCGCCGCATGCATCAGACGAGCTGGTCGATCGGGACGAGGATCAAATAGTGCAATCGCCCACCCAGCCCTCTGCATCTCCACGATGGCTGGCTTGGACCAGGGCCCGTCGATCGCAAGTTCCATGACCTCGTCGCCCTCTCTGAGAGCCCTAGCCACCATTCGTTTCGGGGGGGGCAGCCCATGTCGCAGCCATCGCAGTCCGTCATGACACTCTGCATTCCCAAGTACATGATGGGCAACTCGA